GGGTTTGCTTTTAGGAAAAGGGTTTGGGTAAATTTATGCAGAAAATCAGAGGTGGAATTAAGAGAAGGTGTGGAGTTATAAAAGTATTAGTCAGAGGGCTGAAGAGGGTTTGTTGAAGTGGTTTGGTCATTTAGAGAAAATGGATCAAAGTAGAATGTCATGGAGAGCGTATAAATCTGTAGGGGAAGGAAGGCAGGGTAGGGGTCATCCTCGAAAAGGTTGGAGGGAGGGGTAAAGGAGGTGTTGTGGGCGAGGGATTTGGACTTCCAGCAAGCGTGCGTGAGCGTGTTAGATAGGAGTGAATGGAGACAAATGGTATTTGGGACGTGTTGAGCTGTTGGAGTGTGAGCAGGGTAATATTTAGTGAAGGGATTCAGGGAAACTGGTTATTTTATATAAACGGACTTGAGTCCTGGAAATGGGAAGTACAATGCCTGCACTCTAAAGGAGGGGTTTGAGATATTGGCAGTTTGGAGGGATATATTGTGTATTTTTATACGTATATACTTCTAAACTGTTGTATTCTGGGCACCTCTGCAAAAACAGTGATTATGTGTGAGTGAGGTGAAAGAGTTGAATGATGATGAAAGTATTTTCTTTTTGGGGATTTTCTTTCTTTTTGAGTCACCCTGCCTCGGTGGGAGACGGCCGACTTGTTGAAAAAAAAAAAAAAACTAACATTCTTGGCCAATTTTAAAATAATTTTTTTATTACAGTGTATATAATGTTCTTGACCAATCTTTACCAAACAAATGTAAATGCACCACATATGAATAACACACACACACACAAAATATCAATGAATGTGGTGAAAAATATTAATTTAAAATAATGAATATAGCTTAAACAATCATAACCGTTGACTCTACAGTTCTTGACCAATCACTAATAAACTAACATAAGCTCTCCACATAATATGAACAAATGAAAAATATGAATGCATTTGGTGAAAAAAAAAGTCAAGAAAACTATTTATTGACACTTACTCTTTGAATATTTGCCATGATCACAACTGCTGGTCAGTGTTTGTAAGTCATTAATGCTTTTGAGCCATCAGTTTCAAGTAAAGTTGCCTAACTTGTAGATTTTAACTAGCTTTTCATATTTTAATTTTAAAAATTAGTGAAACATTTTCATGTACTACAGTAGAACATCAGTTTTCGTATTCTCTATAAAATGTATTTTTGGTAATATTTTTGGGTGTCTGGAACGGATTAATTGGATTTACATTATTTCTTATGGGAAATATTAACAAAAAGTACATTTTATAGAGAATAACTATAGTTATAGCAGCGAGGAGGCGGTTGGAGGCAGTGGAGATGTCCTGTCTAAGGGCAATGTGTGGTGCAAATATTATGCAGAAAATTCGGAGTGTGGAAATTAGGAAAAGGTGTGGAATTAATAAAAGTATTAGTCAAGAGGGCTGAAGAGGGTTTGTTGAGGTGGTTTGGTCATTTAGAGAGAATGGATCAAAGTACAATGACATGGAAAGCATATAAATCTATAGGGAAAGGAAGGAGGGGTAGGGGTCGTCCTCGAAAAGGTTGGAGAGAGGGGGTAAAGGAGGTTTTGTGGGCGAGGGGCTTGGACTTCCAGCAAGCGTGCGTGAGCGTGTTAGATAGGAGTGAATGGAGACGAATGGTATTTGGGACCTGACAATCTGTTGGAGTGTGAGCAGGGTAATATTTAGTGAAGGGATTCAGGGAAACCGGTTATTTTATATAACCAGACTTGAGTCCTGAAAATGGGAAGTACAATGTCTGCACTTTAAAGGAGGGGTTTGGGATATTAGCAGTTTGGAGGGATATGTTGTGTATCTTTATATGTATATGCTTCTAAACTGTTGTATTCTGAGCACCTCTGCAAAAACAGTGATAATGTGTGTGTGGTGAAAGTGTTGAATGATGATGAAAGTATTTTCTTTTTGGGGATTTTCTTTCTTTTTTGGGTCACCCTGCCTTGGTGGGAGACGGCCGACTTGTTGAGAAAAAAAAAAAAAAAAAAAAAAACTATAGTTTTACATACAGACTAGAGCATACGAAAATCAAGGTTCCACTGTAATTGGTTTCAAAGCACCAACATTGTAAGAGTGTAACATCACAAGTCAGGGACCTACCATAGCTAATTAACCCTTTCAGTGTCGGTCCCATAATATTATGGCTTGAGAGCCAGTGTCAGTCCTGTAATACTACGCCAAAATTCTAGCTCCTTCAAATCTGGTGGAAGAAAGCTGGTAGGCCTACATATGAAAGAATGGGTCTGCATGGTCAGTGTGCACAGTATAAAAAAAATCCTACTGAACTCAGTGCATAAAGAGAAAAAAAAAACTCTGACTGTGTTTTTGGTTTAAAACAGTGACTTTGCAGTGCATTTTCGTATGGTATTTATGGTTGTATTCTCATTTTCTTGGTCTCATTTGATAGAATGGAAGATATATTACAGTAATGGAGATGATGTTGATTGGTTTCACAATGAAAAGCACCTTGAAATTGAGCTCAAAGTAGCAGAAATGTTTGGTTTTTGATGCTCAAGAGTAAACAAATGATGTCACTGTCCAGTATGTGTTCAACTGGCCAATCTAAAAAGTTGACATTATTTATACAATTATTATAATAATGCAGTAGTCTGCATAACAGTAAATCTTCTATTTTTTGTGACAATAAAAATTCAAAATGGAAAAGAAGAGTAATATAAGAGGGGCTGGAGACATGACTAATGAACAGAGAAAATATTATTTTAGTGCCAGGAATGTCTGCCTTGTTTATTCTGGACTCTATATTGAAATTGGCATCTTTTGAAATCTGTGTGAAATTAGCCAAATTGCCAATTTCTGACCACTTTATTGGGTAGTTGAAATCGGTAAATGGGTGGCTTTCTTGTACTCAATTGATAGAACGAATGGAGTTCTAGCAAATTGGGTATGATTTTACTCAACTGGAACAATGGAATTGGCCGAAAATAGGGCTCAAAGTGGGCAAAATCGCCTATGCGTAAATATCGCCGAGATTGCTAACTTCGCGAGAACGTAATTTCACAAGTTTTCCATCAAATTTCGTACTTTTGGTGTCATTACCATCAGGAAAAGACTCTCTATCATTTGATAAGAAAAATAATTTGTTTTTTTGAAAAATTTTCGATACAGAGAGAGATCAGGGGTCTCGACACTGAAAGAGTTAAGCATACATCAGTGCTGAAATATACAACCAGGCACTATGCACAAATATCCTGCACATGGCAGAAACTTATGACAACTTTTTGGTCCAACTTGGACCATTAGTTAATGGTCTAAATTGGACAAAAATATCAACCTAAGTTTCTTTCTCCTATGTGTGGATTACGTGCAGTGTTCCAGTCACGGTATTGTGCCTTTTTGTTATTCAATCAGGCACTATATATAAGAGTGGGAATATCATCTGACAAATCCTTTTAGTGGTCACTGTGAAGTTTGATTAAATGATCCATTAGTAATTACTCTGGTCACTTTTAACTATTAAAATAGGAAAAGTTACTGAGATACAAATGTAATAAAGGGCAACTTGCTCACATCTCCTGCATTATGCATGGGAAAAAATGAACAGCGAAGATGCGTTAATGCATTGTTAATTGTTTTAAAGACTAAAAGATACATTATATTTCCTTATACGTACTTACTGTGAGAAACTAGTAGAGTATATAAAGGAATATTGTGGTTATCATAATGAAATGCTATCAAATAAATTATTTACCTCAAAATTTTTTTGCCATTCCTTTTCTGCTTTCCTCTGTTCTTCCTCTTCTATCTCTAAATCTCTCTTTCTTTTTCTTTCTTCTTGGTCGCGAGTTTCTTGTTGTCGACGTTTTCTCTCCATATCAGCAAAGAGTTTCATCGTTTGAACATATACAGCGCGCTTTAATTTTTCAGGGTCATCTTCATCAACCCGGGTATCCTTGCCCTCACGCTTCAACTGTTTCTTACGCTCCTCAGTCTACAGGAAAACAATTAACTGGTAACAATTAATAAATACTTTACCATAAGACACTTATTCATTTTAGTTGACTTTGTTACAAACATCTAATCTACTTATTACCTTATAATTAACATACATTGAAACTCTGTAGTCTTGCAAACTTGTATATGTTCTTTTCATTGAGTTCGGCTTAATTATTTCAAACATTAGGCTATGGGCCCTTGGAAGCCATGACCAGAGTAAATCTTAAACTCTGTTGTCTTCTCTATATTATTTTCACTGCCTTCAACTTAGTGATTCTCAAATATTAGGCTGCAGCCCCTTTGGGAGCCATGAGTTTGGTAAACTTTCAATGACTGGTGACTCATTTGGTAAATTAGCTAAGAACTTACCTAACCATTTGCATACAAGCTAAACCAACTCTCTGACACAGCAGGGTATCAGATACAACCAGAGAGATAAAAAAATAATTTGCAACCAGTGAAACAAAGAAGAAAATTTAAATTAACAATACCCACTCAGGTTAAACACAGTGGCCTTAAATCATGTGCATTAATAGATAGTGTACATTCAGGTCTGGAGTGAAATAATACTGCACACCTAATAAAAAATATTTGTAGGGCATTTCTTCACTTACCTACAGTGCTAGTCATGGCATTATGCCGCCCCCTCCCCCCACACACGTACCAAACACAAACACATACCATGAAAGATTATAACACATATTTGCACACTTACTGAGGTTTTAATACTTGGTGCTGCGTCCTTTATGCTTAATCATGTCCCTCAGCCATGTAGGAAGACACTCACACAAATCCTTGAGGGTTTGAGGAGGTATAATATTCCATGCCTCATGTAGAGCAGCCTCCAGCTGTGGGATGGAACTAATATCCTTGCCAAGTAAACTTCGTTCCACTATTGACCAGAGGTTCTCAATGTGGTTTAGGTCTGGAGAATAGCCTGGCCAGTCATTAAAGAACCTCACTTCACAGTCCTTAAGCCAATGAACTACAGATTTGGCAGTATGACACAGTGTACCATCCTGCATAAAAACTGTAGCCTCACACTTGTCAAATGCCTCAGGTAAATTGTTACACAATAACTCCAAGTACATAATTATACTGGTTTATATACAGTTTTTGGGAAGCACAATGAGTTCACCAGCACTCTGAGCACTGAAACAACCCCAAACCATGAGCGAGTCTGGGTGTTTGGTGGTCCCACAGGTGTAGCGTGGGTCTAGCAGGTCACTACCCCTGGGCCGGTACACGTCCCGCACGGTTACAGGTGACGGTTGCTTCATCACTCGAAAGTACTTCAGACCACTGTTGAGGATTCCAGTGAAGATGTTTTTTTTGGCATAATCCAGCCTACATTTCTTCTGTGGCTTAGAGAGGATTGGATTCTTAACCTGGCAGTGACTACTGTAGCCCAGTTCTGACACACACATCTGTTAACAGTTCTTACAGACACCTCTGAGAGAAAATGTGGCTTCTTTTCTTTCAATTCTCTAGCAGTTATCTTAGGTGTACTCTCTAAGTGCTTCTTTAACACAGTAAGGTACGAACAGATGTCTTCTTTGAGGAGCCAGGCCGAGGTTTGGCAGACAGTAACTTGACACCGCCACCAGCCTTGAAATGCTGCACCCAGTTCCTCACTAAACGTTCACACACACCAACATTCTCCACTATTTCTTTCATCTGGGGTGCCCAGCTTTGTGAAGCCCTATGATTTGAGCTATAGTTTCAGGTGTTAAAGACTTCCTTTTATCCATAATCAAACATGTATAGCCCCAAAACCAAAGGGAACACCGGACAAAAGATGGGGTGGATGAGAGACAAAAGTGCAACACTTCCTCTCACCACGGCAGCCACATGAGCACTGAGGAGTCTCTGTGGAGTGTGGCAGCAGGCCATGACGTCATGCTAACGCTGCTACCCGACATAATGCACTGATGAAAAAACACCCCCCTGTATGGCAGGCCTTTGATTTTCGTCACGGCATTATGCCGGGCGCTCACCTGGCATAATGCTGTGACTAGCGCTGTACATACTTTTCCAATCACTGCACATTAATAATGGCACCCAAGAATATTGCTGGTGGTACTGAAAGTGCAAAGGCAATAATATAACAGACAAAATACCTAGCAAAGCATAATTTTAATAAGGCAAGTACAAAAACACTGCACATTTGACACTTTACAGGAATACATTATTTGAACATTCGCAAATATACATTGAATATCGAAGTGTACATAGGAGTGTGTCTAATTTTTGTGAAGGATAACATAATGGATTAGTAAGTGATATGTTTGCAGTGGCTAAAACAAAAAAAAATTCACCAGAATCTACAGCAACAGCATTCTCAATCACAACAATACAATAACGTGTTTTACTGAATAATATATTTGTTATTTAGAACGAATATGATTTTTTAATATGTAGTAGGTTGTAGAAAGCAGCCACCCAGAGGGGTACTACCATCCTGCCAAGTGAGTGTGAAACGAAAGTCTGTAATTGTTTTACATGATGGTAGGATTGCTGGTGTCTTTTGTCTGTCTCATAATTATGCAAGATTACAGGTACGTCTTGCTACTTCTACTTACACTTAGGTCACACTGCACATACATGTACAAGCATAAAGTATATACATACCCCTCTGGGTTTTCTTCTATTTTCTTTCTAGTTCTTGTTCTTGTCTATTTCCTCTAATCTTCATGGGGAAGTGGAACAGAATTCTTCCTCCGTAAGCCATGCGTGTCGTAAGAGGTGACTAAAATGCCGGGAGCAAGGGGCTAGTAACCCCTTCTCCTGTATATATTACTAAATTTAAAAGGCGAAACTTTTGTTTTTCCTTTTGGGCCACCCCACCTCAGTGGGATATGGTTGGTGCGCTGAAAGAAAGAAAGTTCTTGGTCTTATTACTTTTCCTTTTATATCCATGGGGGAAGTGGAATAAGAATCTTTTCTCCGTTAGCCGTGCATGTTGTAAAAGTCAACTAAAATGCCGGGAACAATGGGCTAGTAACCCCTTTTCCTTTAATAATTACTAAAAAGAATAAGAAGAAGAAAATTGTCAAAGTGGGATGTCTGAATGTGCGTGGATGTTGTGCAAATGATAAGAAAGAGATGATTGTGGATGTTATGAATGAGAAGAGGTAGGATGTCCTGGTTTTAAGTGAAACAAAGCTGAAGGGGGTGGGAGAGTCTCAGTGGAGAGGAATAAATGGGGTTAGGTCAGGGGTTTCAAATAGAGTTAGAGCTTAAGAAGGAGAAGCACTAATGTTGAAGGATAAGTTATGGCAGGAAAAGAGGGGCTATAAATGTATTAATTCAAGGATTATGTGGAGTAAAATAAAGGTTGGATGTGAAAAGTGGGTTATAGTACGTGTATATGCACCTGGAGAAGAGAGAAGTGTAGAGGAGAGAGAGAAAGATTTTGGGAAATGTTGAGTGAATGCGTGGGGAGTTTTGAACCAAGTGTGAGAGTAATGGTGGTTGGGGATTTCAATGCTAAAGTGGGCAAAAATATGGTGGAGGGAGTAGTAGGTAAATTTGGGGTGCCAGGAGTAAATGAAAATGGGGAGCCTTTAACTGAGCTATGTGTAGAAAGAGGTTTGGTAATAAGTAATACATATTTTATGAAGAAGAGGATAAATAAATATACAAGGTATGATATAGCACATAATGAAAGTAGTTTGTTAGATTATGTATTGGTGGATAAAAGGTTGATGGGTAGGCTCCAGGATGTACATGTTTACAGAGGGGCAACTGATATATTGGATCATTATCTAGTTGTAGGTACAGTTAGAGTAAGAGGTAGATGGGAAAAGAGGAAAATGGCGACAACAAGTAAGAGGGAGGTGAAAGTGTATAAACTAAGGGAGGAGGAAGTTCGGGTGAGATATAAGCAACTACGTATTGGCAGAAAGGTGGGCTGGTGCAAGTATGAGTAGTGGGGAAGGGGGGGTTGAAGAGGGTTGGAATAGTTTTAAAAATGCAGTATTAGAATGTGGGGCAGAAGTTTGTGGTTTAGGAGAGTGGGTGCAGGAGGAAAGAGGAGTGATTGGTGGAATGATGAAGTAAAGGGTGTGATAAAAGAGAAAAAGTAAGCTATGAGAGGTTTTTACAAAGCAGAAGTATTATAAGAAGAGTAGAGTATATGGAGAGTAAAAGAAAGGTAAAGAGAGTGGTGAGTGAGTGGAAAAGGAGAGCAGATGATAGAGTGGGAGAGGCAATGTCAAGAAATTTTAATGAAAATAAGAAAATTTTTTGGAGTTAAACAAGTTGAGAAAGCCTAGAGAACGAATGGATTTGTCAGTTAAAAAGAGTAGGGGAGTTAGTAGATGGGGAGATGGAGGTTTTGGGTAGATGGTGAGAATATTTTGAGCAACTTTTAAATGTCAATGAAGAAAGGGAAGCGGTAATTTCATGTACTGGCCAGGGAGGTATACCATCTTTTAGGAGTGAAGAAGAACAGGATGTGAGTGTGGGGGAGGTGCGTGAGGCATTACGTAGAATGAAAGGGGGTCAAGCAGCTGGAACTGATGGGATCATGACAGAAATGTTAAAAGTAGGGGGGGATATAGTGTTGGAGCGGTTGGTATTTTTGTTTAATAAATGTATGAAAGAGGGGAAGGTACCTAGAGATTGGCAGAGAGCATGTATAGTCCCTTTATATAAAGGGAAGGAGGACAAAAGAGATCATAAAAATTATAGAGGAATAAGTTTACTGAGTATACCAGGAAAAGTGTATGGTAGGGTTATGATTGAAAGAATTAGAGGTAAGACAGAATGTAGGATTGTGGATGTGCAAGTTTTCAGAGTGGGTAGGGGATGTGTAGATCAAGTGTTTACATTGAAGCATATATGTGAACAGCATTTAGATAAAGGTAGGGAAGTTTTTATTGGATTTATGGATTTAGAAAAGGCATATGATAGAGTGGATAGAGGAGCAATGTGGCAGATGTTGCAAGTTTATGGAATAGGTGGTAAGTTACTAAATGCTGTAAAGAGTTT